CACACTCACTGTCTAATGATGAATCAGAGGATATCGATTTGTGATTTCCGTTATTGAATAGAGGAGATGTCACGCTACTAAGGACAAACATCAAGTTCTGATATTTCACAAATTTAGACATGTGCTTTATTTTTCAGTTGATACGTTCAAAAAATATAGTATTAACAACTAAAATAAAAAAGATGTGTGATATCTCCAACATATATATTCATTGAACAAAAATCTTCTAACATTTCAATGTCCTACAAAATATTTTATTTCTGATTTTCTCTAATGATAGATAGCGATAGTTTCTGTTTTCCATTGGAGTCAAAGTTTGATGAATCTAACCATTGTTCAAAAGCATTTTTAATCTTTGGCCATTCTAAGTCAATTATTGAATACCACGCTGTATCACGATTTCGATGTTTTACAATCATATGTTGACGAAATATACCTTCAAATGTAAAACCAAGTCTTAATGCAGCTTGACGTGATGGCTCATTTAACGAATTACATTTCCATTCATAACGACGATAGCCAAGTTGATCAAATACATATTGAGCGAATAAATACATGGCTTCAGTTGCACCACGTGTTTTCTGTAGTTGAGTAGTATATAATATACAACCAATTTCAATACATCGATGTAAAGGATCAATTCTCATCAAAGCAGCTAAGCCAACAGCACATTCTAATTTATTGTCAATAATTGAATAAAATAAGAAATCGGTTGACGTAGCCATTTCTCCTAATCTAATATCAAATGCTTCACGGTTTTGAAATGGACCATCAAATAAATAAAACCATTTTGCTTCATTTTCTTTTCCCTTCGTTTTTTCCCAAAGAGAATCATAATGTTCAGTTCTAAGAGGAGTAATGGTAACATATTGACCTTTAATTGTAATTCGTTCTGGTCGTTGGGCTGCCAAAGTAGAAGCAACTTTTATCCCAATAGGTAAACTTGTGTTTTCATCAATTTCATACATGTCAAATAATTCTATATGATTTTTGCATCAATTTTTTTATTGTTTTGAAAATTATGTTCCCTAGAATATAAATAATATTCGTCAACATATTAGGGAAGGATAGATGACCGCGCATTTGACCTTGACAAAAAGCTTGACAACTTCACGCAGAACTAATTTAACTGTTAGACACACTGAAATTTTTCATAGTATTAGAAGAAAATTTCTCATAAAAGATAGAAGCATCTATCGACGTTTTCAGACATACGATGGGTCGTCCATTTTGAAGTTCATAATGATTATAAATATTTATCATTGAATTTAGCATAAATATAAACAGATACAATTACCCAACGCTCAGCGTTCTATTATTATGTCAAAACCCAAATTATCAAAGTTTGTTCGTTCTTAAATAATATAGATAGTACAACTGTGACTATCTAGAAAATAACGCCCATGATTATTTTTTTTAAAAACGTTTAACAGAAAATAGCAGACAGAACGTGGTTTTCACTATTCAAAAACCAAGACTTGTGCGCATTTTTGTTTCTGGACAGGCACTAGTTATCTAAAAAACTGTTATTAATTTTGATGCAGATGATTAGCAACGAACAGTAAATGAATAATTCTGATAAAAGGAGTACCTTTTATTTTCAAAAAAGTTGAGTCATAGAAAAGTAAATGCTTGAGTGATCGAATATAACATATCGATAGTGAATATTTAGTAGCACTAGAAAAAGTAAGTCGGCAAACTAACACTTGTTTCTATCATGGATTTTCAAAATCTCGTGGAAATTAAATACAAGCAAAAAAAGGCCTCGGTTGATTTCTACATAGAAATAACTAGAAATATTCTAAACGTAGACAATTATAAGTTAAAAAGTGTGTTCTATCTATTGATGTAATTAAAAACAACTTTTTCAAAATCTCGGTATCGCTGGCTTTCTGAGAACTACGGGCTTCCGAAAACCTTTTTTGATCCGTTGAACGCTGTGTATGTACACACTTAAATTCTCCATGTTTTGAGACCTTTATAGTAAAAACTTGGCTTTATTCACGCGTGTTGTATTGAAGTTATAAAAACAAAAATTGTTACCGGACAGAGGTGGATACGAGGCACTTCTCAGTAATTTCTAACTTTTTCCCTAAAAAAAAGCAATCTCAGTATTTGCCATTTTTACAGAGCCACCGCGTGGTTAGACTATACTAACGGTAAGAAAAGAAACTTGCTATCATGCTGACTATATCTAGAGTTAGTACACCCGTAAATTACTCGGTAGCGAGATATTAGCGAAAAGCTTTTCGCTATTAGATATCCTGGATATGTGGTCAATATCTAGCACGAACAAAATACATACTGAACAACTTAGCAGACTTCCTAGAAGTAGGTGGTTGCAGGACAAAAAGAAATATTTTTTTAGAACCGCCAGTTGTCAACAGGTTTTTGCGAAAAGGCAGTATCTAGGAACAGAAATAATAATACAGATGAATACAGGGAGGAAAACGCTACAAGGTGAAGAAAAAATATGTGTACTATCATATGAAAAGTAGAAGAGAAAGTAAGTTTCCAGAGTAAGCCACTTGTGTACCACAAGAAAGTTAACACAATAATAACGGTCAAATACATGCGTTTTGCTTATAATTCGTAAAAGAATAGAGATGAAACAATGACATTTCCAGGGATCATAGACTTAATATTGATGAATATTTGTGGGAAGTTCGAAAGTGTTTGATCATACTTAAAGAGAGAAACGCCCTGAACCATTTACTTCAGTCAAACAGTACGACATTAATCAGAATCACTGACATAGTTAGCAAATTCATTTTTCGTATCTATAGGTCTTTTTTTTTCTTTTCTTTAATGTACACGATATTCTGATATTTTAAATTCACGTGTTATGCTTCAACGCAAAGAAAATACTATTTTTTATTCTATTGTTGTACGAAATATGATATCATTGTTATATAAGAAACCAAATATTTGATTGATTTTGATGTTAACTACCATAGCATGCCTACCCATGTTGTCTATTCTTCAAGACAACTGACGGTTAACCGCCGTTATTTCAGCCGAAACCACAGCAACACAGCATAAAAATCGACGAGTTTTCAACCAAAACTACCAAATTAGATATCAGCCTTTTCCTCACACAATCAAATTGTGGAATGACTTGCCTCAAAATATCATCGAAAATAAAAACTCTTCTACATTTATAACATCGCTTAAAACCTATGTCTATCAGTCTCTCCTAGTATATCGTGTGTATCAACTCGAACGTGCGCCTGAAATTATCTTGTACCAAATCCGCACAGAATTTTCTCAGCTTAATGTTGGTTTATTTAAAAAAAGTTTATCAGATACAGACACTTGCAAATGTGGAACTACTGAGACAAGAAATCACTTTTTGCTCCATTATCCTCTCTACACAAATCAAAGAATAAAGTTAGATAATAACTTAAAAGATCTGTTGCACGATGGTCAACTGTCTATACCCCTTCTGACATTGAGAACTCCCCTAAACCTTGACGATTACAGAACAGTGGTTAAAAGCGTTGTAGCATTCATTGATGAAGCAAACCGTTTTTTGCGACATTAATGCACGCTCAGCTTTTAAATATTAATCTCCTTACTAAATCTTGCGCTCGTCACGTTTTTTTTACCTTTATTTTTATTCTTATGCTTTATTTTCATTTTTATCTTTACTCGTGTATTTTTTACTGTTTTTTCCTCGTTTTTATTTTTCTCTGACTCCTTCGTGTTATTAACCTATTCATTTGTTGCTTTTCACGTATATCAACTACAGTAACTCCTGACGCTGAGCTAATGGATTTCTCCACTTCAATACCGGATGTTACATGTTCTTCTTTGTTACCTTGATGAATAAATAAGTAAAGCTTAAATGAAAAACCAACGGTTAAACGCCCAGTTAACCGGAAAAAATAGCTGATAACCAACCGTTTTTTCGGTTAACTGGGCGCTTAACCATTGGTTTTTATGCTGTGTTGCTATGATTTCAGCTGAAATAATCGCGGTTAACCATCAGTTTAATTGAAAAATAGACGACATGGGTACTGTCTTGCTAATTTTTCCTCAGCATCGCACCTACTAATATTTACATTTCTTTTACAGAAAACAAGAAATCCAGCTCATCCTCTCCTAAATGATCTAGCGATAAATAGAGTTTAGATTAGCGATTTAGAGTATCCTATGGTGGGCCCACTAAATGTAATTGTAAATAACTAAATGAAACTGAATGAAGGATTATATGCTCGTAATTTCTTAATTAAAAAGTTTCGAGTATAATACATTGTGTTTGTCTACACAAAAAGATCAAAATATATCGTGTAAGAATATTATTATATTATATTTCATATAAGAATTATGATTCGTACATCCTACCCTGCGTTTGAATAATAAATGTAAAAGAGATGTTTGTTGTAATACAAAAACTTGATCGTTTGTATGATGAGATGAATAGCGATGTAGTTTAAAAGATACATCTATCAATAAAATTTACTATCAAATGAGCGTTATTCGAACTTGTTGTGACAAATACTTTAACATTCTTTTTTGAATAATAATATTTTAACTTCTTTTTTGAATGTTCATCGAAAGATTGTTTCATCTAAAAGATGTACTCGCACGGTAGATCAGGAGTACTGAAGCACTTTTGTATTCAGTTTTTATCTATATTAACTTGAGTTTAAAGATTTAGCATTTAATTCACAAGGCAAAGAATTTCATTTCTCCACAAAGCTGTGAAGAGTAAAACTAGAGAGCAAAAATTGTGCTGCGCACAAGTTGCGATGTCGACAGGCTGTATGTGATATGAATACAGTCTGGTACAGTAGAAACTTCTAAACCGTTACAAACAGCTGTAGGAGGAACTTGCTTCCGTCTTAAATGGCGAGCACAACCACGACAAATCCATTGGCTGCTAGGTACACTTCTCTTTATAGAAAAACATTTCTCTATTTCTTCTCGTTGCTCGTCCGACAAAAGTGTGAGTTAAATAAACAGACTGATCATACTGTACAACTTGATTTGCAAACATGCATCTGTTATAGACAGTATAAATGAAATCTAGTCCTTCTTTTGCGATGCTTTCAAACTTTTGGAAACACTTCATGTAAAAAGCCCCTAAATTTTCTTCTTTTTAATTTTGACTTGTAATTCTTTAACTTTTGTTTTAATAGTTGTGATTTTCATTTTTTCTAACGCTACATACTTTAGTAAAACGTTGTTTGAGTGACCGGAGTTATAGCAGTTTAGCAATTTAACATCGGAGGTTGAACTGATCGGTTGAGACGCGCTGAAACTTTATAGAGTAGACTTAAAGTAGGAGTTCTGTAGAAGATGGATCAAAGGCAACACGCAGACGTGGTTTAAAGTCTATGTATGATTAAATAAGGCAACAATCAAGTAAAACCTCTTTGAGATGGATACCTAAAAGAAAACAAGCCTCCCTAAGAAGGTGATAACAATTGGATCGTAGCAGTTAAACTTTCTTCTTTATTCTTGAAGCCAATACTCCAAATCGTTTCGATACTCTATGAATTTCCAGTTGTGCGGTATATCTTGTGTTTTGAAATAGCAAATCGTCTTTTTTCTTTTTCCTCTTTCTTCTCTCTTTTACTAAATTTAAATTCTCTTCTCAGTACTTAAATGTCTTTATGTTTTTATTTATACAGAACAAATAATTAAAAAAAATTATATTTCGTTTTCTGACTAAATGGCGCCGGACAAAAAATTAACAATAATTGTCTAAATCCAAAACGCATTTTTCTTCCACTTGTGTAGCTTATGGCGCCGAATCTGGACCTTTATTTGAGAGAAAAACTGTGCATTCGATCAATCTACACTGATAGGAGATTATTCTCCCGTTTTCAAAAGTTTTCTACGTAACGTACTTCTCTAGATCACGTGACGCACATTTTACAATAAAAAAAACAAAAATCCCAGCAAAATACAATATGTCTGTCGACATAATTAATTTCAATGATAATAAGAGATATGTTGAATTTAGTTCGGAATGTTTTTTCAAAAAGAAAGGGAATTCGTCTTTTGTAAGGCATTTTTCAATCAGGGCACTGATGTCATTATCGGTAACAAGAAATAATTATATGCAACATCGATTAGACTGCGCGAGTTTCACTAACGCTACGTCATGTATTTCAGTAAACATATTCGCTATAGACACGACAAACAATTGATATGTGGTTTATTGCAGTATTGTAGATAGATGTATAGTGAATATGTCGTATTGTTGCTATTCCTTGTTCTTTTTCATTTTTATAAATCAACGTTGTTGTGATCAAGACTATAAATTTTACTTCAAGTAAGCTGATAACGAACGGGAAGACTTTTGGTTTGTTATCGCATTACGCAAAGCTATTCTCTCTTACTCTGTAGATGCGAAAGTGTGTTCGGAAATGTCAATGAATTTATCAATTTTTCACCGGTAAATTTCATCCTCAAAATATCGACCATATATACATTTTAATTTGCTAGACATGACTTTCTAGGTAAACCATATTCCTTTTAGATACTGTGTATCTCAAATAAACCTGCTACATGGAGCGCTCATGGTGATGAATTAAAAGGAAATATCGATGTGATAGAGTATGATGTTAAGTATTTACTGAGAATATTGAGCTAGTCTTCTATTTTCAGTCCATGCACAGTTAGAATCTATCCATACGAAAGCAGCAAATATGTTCTGGTAGAAGCTAGAGGAATTCAGGTGAGTTAGTCTAAATATTCCTGATCTACTGGAGGCCATACTTTCTACATTGAGTCAGTTATTAGAAGATTGTCTAGATGTGTGTATTTGATTTTGTTAAGCCACCATTGGAATATTTCACCCGCACATTGATAATTAAACGTACAAATTTATGCAATTTCTGGTATATAAAAAACGTGCCAATGTGAGTTATTGACGAGAATTTCTCTGAAAAAATTTTTATCCTCATTTTTATTTAGGGAACATAATAATGCGTGTTTAATGTTAACTCATAAAATTAATTTAAATCAGTCGAAAAACTATTTTGATTTTAAATGTTACCGAATATGGATAACGAAAGCAACAGCGATGAGTGATGAAGAATTTCAACAAACAGCCGAATATCCATCAAAGGTCTTAGTCTAAGGATACTTAAAAGCCATCTGTGATCTGAGATTCTATATCATTATTCTGGATTTTTTAAAAATTTGGAAGACTTCGGCATGGATCACATTATTGGCTAATTCAACAGATGTGAGACCACGTTTTAATACGGGAACAATTATTCCTTCAAGTATCGATATTCAATATGTTGGACCTTATTATGAACACAATGAGTATTGGATCGATTCTTACCCTTTCTTCCAATTACTTCTTCTATCTTCTTTATAAAATCTATAAACTGTAAGAATATGCGCAATCCATCTCATGTATATATAACCTATTTTAGCTCTGTTTGGTATGTAATTGTTCAAAGTCATCTTTATTTGCGAACATGGATTAATATTGAAGCGGATGGTGTGTTACATATTGGCTATTGTAGAATAAGGTTAGATTAGAAAGTGTAGTTCGTTGTTATCTGAATTGAAAAAAATACATTAGTTTTATGTTTAGATCAAGAAAATTTTTAGTACATAGTCTATTATTTACAAATAATACAATGGAAATATCTAGTAAAACTGAAAATCTAACTGAAGAATATCTACAACTATCTCATACAGATGTCTGTACATATCTATAAAGGTGTGAATTAGAACCTTTCTTGACGGTTTTTTTGTAGCATTTGAGACAAATTAAATTGATACCAACATTATCGGCTATTTGGACATATGTTCTGGCTTCGTATGTAAATATTTAACCCTTTACACCCGAAAGCACTTTTATTATAGCTGCCGCTGAAATAACTATTGCATTAAAACTTACAGTTCTTTGGTACACCCATGCTATATATGGACTTAAGTGGTGTTGCTTTGCCGCGTGGATACATGATGTCCCTTGGAAGGGACATTCGGGTGTAACGACATGGATTTTGTATTTTTTTCATTATTATTCCGAACTTCCTTTTTTACCCTAGTGTGTTACTATGAGTTTCTTTTCAATTCTTTACTCACTGGATAAAATTTTGATAGAAACAAACGCATTTTTCTTTAATTTTTCCAAAAACGTCGTGCCCGAACTCGTTTTTCGAATCAAGATGGTCACAACGGCGCTTCTAAACGAGCTTCTTTTTATCTCAAGGAAGAAAAGTGTGTTCGGACGTATCTTTTTTTTTAAAAAATTGAAGATAGTTTAGACGCTTCCCAATTTTATTCAGTATTTAAAACGCACTTAGATGGAATTTTTATATCGATCAGAGAAAAACGCTTTCACATTTGTCGCCGACGGCACTGTACTGTTGGTTACATCTTTTTTTCTTCATTTGTCCATCTTCAGATATGTAGCGAGTGATCACAGAATGACCCACGCTAACAAGATGTTAAGATAAAAAATTCACTTTTCATGTCGTTACACCCGAATGTCCCTTCCAAGGGACAGTGAATCCACAGCGCTTTTACGCAAAGAAGAATGCTACAAAAATGTCTACTTTGATTTCATTATAAAGTACATACATACAACCAAAACTACTAACTACAAAATTAGAAAATGATTTAGTGGCTACAAGTATAGAAAATATCTAAAGCCAAAAAATTCATTTTTGAACTTTATTCAATTTTAAAATTCAAAAATATCGGATTAAAATGGAAATTTTTTTTTTCTAATTTCAATCAAAAGTTAGGCTAATCTATTGTCCTACATTAGTAATAATCTAACTTATGGCCTGATGATCCGTTCTTTGTATAAATCTATTACAGCAATGTCCCTTGGAAGGGACGGCCGGGTGTAAAGGGTTAATCGATTAAATATAAAATAATGTATGATCATTTCATGAGTGTTCATGTTTATAGAAGAGAAAAAAGGTTATATGCCATCGAAATGGCTAGTGATTATTATGTAAGAACGATGTCAATTAATTCGTTTGATCCGGTGAGTATGTTTCTAAGAGATGAATTTATTATTAAGTATATTAAATCTAAATCAAGATTTTGGATTTGATACTAATCTCCACCTTTTAGGAAACCCAGTCATTGGATGTATTTATAATTCATCATTGTCTTTATATGTTTAAATGGTCTCATAAATTAAATAATTTAAACCAAATCATATTTCAAATTGTTGATATAAGAAAGAAGAGTAAGATTTGATAGAAGATTGTGTCGACTCTATGTCTGCTAAAATCACTATTGCTTCTTAGAACTTAATTCTAAAGCGATGTTTATTGGTCCAAAACAAGCACTCGGTGTGGTCAATATTATTAATGATTTTGCTATTGCTCAACAAATAAGTGTAAAAATGCCAAGATAAGAACATCATTTTCCACACTTAAGAGACGATGAATCTTATTCCGTTCAGCATCAAATGACAATTATGTACAATAGTACTCATCTCTATTCATTTGTAATGCAAATACCAACCACTTGTCTGATTAACGAAACACTTTCCGTATTGCGACTTTGCTATGTGTGTTGTTCAAATATAAAAGTAAAAATCAAGTGAAATTTAGTGTTCTTCATAAAAAATATCAAATAATTTTGTTCTTGGTCTTACTAGCCGTACCTTATTCTACGCTTGACTGTCCATCCAGTTTTACATCAGATTGTAATGATATTATACCATCCACGTTCAAAGTTTAGAAATGAATCAAATGTAATAAGTCTAGAAATCGTGTCTAATCAATTTTAAATATAACCGTGTATATAATTTCGCTTTTAGATTATTGTTCGATGGTATGAAGCCAATTTATTTGATATTGTTCATTGTCGTGAACGGGATTTTAAAATACTTCATGAATTAAGCTTTATGATGCCGTTTAGTTTTACAAGTAAGGCATTTCATGCTAGTTTAACTATCCCTGTCACTGGTATCTTTTTCTTCAGTAATGTCAATGTATAATCCTGGAATAATGTTTCTGTCTGGTGCACGGTCATGTCTGGTTATATGGATGGGAACTGTGACAATGCTGATGTGTCAAGGTTTGATCTTCTTCCTTATAGTTAGCTCTTAAAACTAATGTATGAAATAACTTTATCTGGATCAAATTACCATTACATCAATATTAGATGTCATTTCTGTTAATTTTTAGCTATTTTTATTAAGCCCCTAAGGCTGCTCTTAAACTCTTCTCACTATCAAAACAGTAGTCTTCTAATTTCATAGTTAACAGTGCTATAAAAGTATATTTTCTGAAAAACTGAAGAATGTGACATCTCCAGGATCGTAAACTGCGCGTGGGAGCGGGAGGGTGTCCCCAAAGATAAAAAATTGTCCTTTTCTCCCAGCGGAAATTAAATTTTTTTTGCTTTGTATTTGGTAAAGCAAAAAAATTTTGCCGAGAGAAAAAATACAACATTTTGGCAAAGTTTGAACCGGTTCAAAGCTTTGCACTAGTTTGCGCACTCATTATACCGGACACAGCTGCACAGAAACATTGTTAGCGTAGAAAATAATTTTTTTCTCGGCAAATTTAAGTCCGAGATTAAAATCTGTTTCATCAATAAATAGGTGACAGTTCCAAGATTTATTATCAGTATCGTTTCAGTGCCAGGTTAGTTCGATTTAACAATGAACAGCTTTTTTCTATAATCCCGGGGTTTTTAACCTCATTTTTGCAACAGTGTGTTTCCATGATCCTCAGCGATTGAAACAAAACTTTTTATGCCAATAAATATTCCATAGACTGAAGTATATTTGCCTCTATTTGAATCTTAGAAAAGTCCACTTTCGTTTTTTTGCCAAAAGCCGATCCGGATGCACACGATGGCTTGGGTTTTTTATTTTTAATAAATAGTGCACAATTTTAAAGGAGAGAATGACAAAACTTTTTCAAGTATGCCGAAGTATAGAGTAAACATTTTCCTATAAAATGAGAGGTTACAGGACTGTACACGATCTATTACTCTTTTAATAATGTCTTCGAACGACGATATGTTCGACTCTATGTCAACACAAGTTTGGTACTAAAGGATTCAGAGTTACAAGCAAAAATCACACACAACCTCATTAACACTTTATTTTGTAGAAAAGCATTTGCTCTTCATTTTTAACAACTAGAAAAATTTTATCTAGACAGACTTCGGAGACTCATAATAAAGTTTGAAAAAATATAAGAGTAGACTCGTAACATTCCTACTGCATGTCAATAGTGTACGTAATTCTAGTTTGCAAAGTCCTCTGACATTATGATAAGAACTTATTATTTGATTGTTTTACAGGGATCGTCGGTACTTACTAATTACTCTTTACGAAACTTCTTGATCAATTTCTAATAGTTCTTTCTTTATGATTAAGTAGAGAAAGAAAGTTGAAAGTTGTATTGCTGAAGTTAACGTCAGGATGAACAGTTCTGCTGTACTCTAGATGGTGAGACATATTCATTGACGCCTGAAGAAGGTTGGCTAAAATATGGTCAAGATTGTCAAATAGATCGTGTAATTGCAAGTAAAATAAAAGTCTATCTATTTCATTTCTTTCGTAGTGTAAATAATTTTTCATTATGAAATAGATTCATTTTTGGAAATAATTGTTTTGATGTATTGTAATATTGATAAATCGAGTAATAGTCAACATATGTTTTATACAAGAATTGGTGAATCGGGAATTCTATATGAAGTGAATATTTAATAGTTTATATAGACAAAAGTTTCAATTTTGCAACTTTTAGTTGCATCCTTTAACTCCTTATTCGTATACAGTCGTATTTGATACAAATGGTGATTTACATCAAATAATAAAATCAAATAATAAAAAAGAATCATTGTATGTTGTACAATATCCATTGCGTACAGAAATAACAAATATTCTAAAAAATAAATATCCAGTATTTCTAACCGAATGTGATGTAAATTAGAAAAATTTCTTAAATTAAATATATTTTTCTACCATTATAATTTAGATAAAAAGTTTAATAATAAACTCATCATCATCCGTTCTCTATTTTGATTATCCAAAAAAGACATCATTAGTAACAGTATTAACAACGACAAATGAAAAATCGAGTTATATTAAGGTAAGAAATATGTATTTCTATTCAACTGTTCTTATACTTTCTTTTTCAAAGTTTGAGAAACTTATTCGAAGAGATATGATTTCTTATACTTATTCATTTTCTACAAATGTTAAAAATCGTCTGATATCAACAAGACTTGTAAGTATTTCAATGCGTTCTAGTTATATAAGTCTATATCTACTTTAAGTACTAAAATATTTTGCATTAATTTAGGTGACAGATTTAATTTTACATCCAGGTCCAATGCTACAAAAATTTGATACTAGTCCAGTTAATTATGAAACTTATTTGTATGTATCATTTCCAAATGGATGGAGCAATGCTACCCTAAAACTATTCTCTGTAATTTTATTGGCCAGGACGAATAGGAAGATCGCTAAATTTTAGAAATTAACTCATCTACCAATTTGATAAAAATTTTACTCGGATTTCTCATGTTTGTTTTCACATTTTTAGAAATCCAGACTTGAGTTTATCCGTTATAACATTGCGACCATCTCACGTCGCTTTATCATGCGATATGACAAATATAATTAAAGTATATGACGATGAGTCTCATCTTATCTGTTTCCATCGAAGCGAGAAATTAATTGTTCTTATTTTTTCGCAGACGATTTATATACGATCTGGATGCAATAAACATTTTCATATAGAAATAGTCAGTTGTGAAAATAGTCTCACATGTACATATATTAGTAGAAAAGAAGATGGTACCCCGATCGAATATAAACATGTGACAACGTATAGTGAAACACCAGTGATAACATTAGAACAGCTCAAGAAATCGTATTTCATGAAAATTTATATATCAGATGAATTTGAAATGATTGCTCAAGAATATTATGGATATTTTCTTATTGAAGAAATTGAAGGACGAAAAACATATACGGTTTCAACATCAAATTCGGTAGTACATAACGTGGAACAGTGTGATGTTACACTTAAAAATAAGAACATCTCTTATTCTCTAGAGTTTATGTGTACAGGTTCATAATTACAAGTTTTTCGATTATGTGATTATGGTAAAATAACTGTTTCTGCTCCAAAAGTATATGATATTGTACTTCTTATTGTTTTTTCTCTTAGCCACGCAGTCAATGTTATGGTGGAATGGAGATTGAACCATCATTTTTATCGACTACACCAAATATCCGCTATTTAGATGCTCCATTTACACTTTTAATACAAGAACGAGACCTTTATCAGTTTAAAATACGTCTGTTAGATAACTTTGATAGGTTTGGTCTAAATATTGTATACCTAGCAGATTATCTAGACTTTAGTGACTTACACAGTTTTGACAGTCTGTATTTGACAAAAACATATGTGATAAATCTTTCAAATTTGATCTTTTGCTAAGTAACGGAAAAAGTCAATACTCTTAATCTTCTTCGAAATTCCACTCTACCATAAGAATATCCTACATTTCTATGTATTCTATGAATATTCAAAGACGAGCTAATCTATCTGTACATGGAACTACCAAACTGAAATATCAACAAAATCAATGTTTCAGAATTTTTGTAACGAAATATTTGTCAAATTCATACATGAGTCATTTAGTTCAACAGGATTGCAGCTTATATGCATTAAGTCATTCGCATGCTGACTTCTACACACTATGCTCTAATATTTTACTTTAGTTATTGTATACTCGAAAAACGATTTAATGTTAAAATAACAGCCTATTATTCATATAAATCAACATATGATTGGTTAATATATGCACTCATTGCATTTGTTGTATTAATGATTATTCTATTATGTATTACATTTTATTTTTATTATAGAAAAAATGTTAACGTAAGTTACTATCTTTCATACTCAACAGACTCCATTGTAAATATTTTGAATTTTTTAAAGGAAATGGTGTTTAATATTTGTATTCATCAAGCATTTTTGGCTCTGACTAGTGATCGATTAGTTTCACAAAAAACTGAATTATCTCAAAAAGCAAGTCGAAATGCTCATCGTCGCTTATAATCAAACAACCATTGTGCTAATTTATCAATTCGCCAACCATATATGAATTTCTTTACAGAATACTTCATGCAGAATGTCCTATAAAAGGAATAAACCATTTACAGCATATCACTTCTTATATATGTTCATAAATGAAGGAGTTTATTATTAAATGTCCAGAATATTCAAAGGTTTACGGTCGATGACAAAACATTAGGTCATTTTCAAATTCTACTTTTAGATGTGTTTTTCATATGTAATCACATTTAGAAATCAGCTTTATATACGAAAAGTTTGAGAACGATATCCATCCAATTCGACACATCGACAGCACCCGAACTTTTTCTTGTGAATTTCGTAAAGGGCGCCGTAGAGTTTCCTGACAACAATAGAAGTATTCGCGAAACTGCAAGTCTGCTCTGTTAATCAAAGATCTGAGATCATTTGATCAGATCAACAAAATTATTTCCACAAATTTTTGAACAGTGGAATTCGATCTTGGTGATGCTCAGTTTTACCGTGATATACGAATAATTCAAAGTATATTTAACTCTCTTCATTATTTCCAATAACTATGATGTACACTAAGAAAAATATACAAACAAACAATACTCATATAATAATAAAAATAGTTATCGATTTCACATGATCATATGATAAAACTTGGATAACAGGCTTGAGAACTGTTTATTCAGACCATAAACGAAAATTAGATTGGCGGTGGTAACCACATTGATTGCGATACTGCTACTGAACAATCATAACATTGGCAATTACTTGGATACATTTGATATGGATTAACGAAAGGACTATTAACTGGTAAATTTGACAGTGGAGCATATGGCTAAAAAGATGAAATATAATTGAAAAAATAAGTCAGATGTACTCATGAAATACCGCAATCAAATATCATCATAGACACCAACTACTAAGAAAACTTTCTTTCCATCAATGTCATCCATCCTAAAAGCGTACAAGTCATTCGATCTAAGACAAGAAGGTTAACACAATACATACCATCGGATATTGAGCAAGTGGAGAATAATTTGACAATGGTGGTTGCATTGCATGAGACGATAACATTAATGAATCAAATGAAGTACTGCTATAGACTGGAATTGAACTAATGGTAATAGGCGTTGTCGAAACGTTTTCCTGAGTTGAAGATGATTGAATTTGACACGATCTGTGTCGTTCAGATCTCTAAAATAACAGGTCGTCCATACAAACAGATTCAGTAAACGCCTTAATTTATTATTAATTCTTGTTTAGCCAAAACTAATACTAATAGTGCACAGACATTAAATACAGCGGCTTTATTTATGAAAACCGGTTAGTTAGCACCACTAGAGATAAGATCAACATCCACAAAAGCCGAAATAGTACTGTAGCTCTTAGTACCTCGCGCAACGGATCTACCTTACGTATTACTCTTCTTTCCATGTACGTTCAGAAAAAATAAATTTAGGTACTTACTCGTCTATTTGAAAACCAATATTTCACTTTGGCTTCTGAACACTGTATAATTTGTCCTATTCTCTGAATTTCAGTTATGGATGGATAAGAATTGGCTGTATAACTTTGAAGTAAAATTTGTTTTTGAGACTCGTTTAAAAACTGACGTTTGACGCGTGGCGTATTAGAAGAGATATGAGAAGAAGATGACATGTTTATGTAGAAGTGATGGATGAATCGATAAGAAGTTGTGAGAAACATTTTTTTTTTCCGTATGTTTTTATACTGTTTTTCCCAAAATTTACCAAAATGAGATCATGTAAGCGTTAGTTCAACGGATTAATCCGACTCATATACAGTTAAACAGAAAAAGTAAACAGTTTCAATTATGAATAAAACTTAACTCTGTTCTGTTATGGATCACGCATATAAAAATGGAAAAAAAAATCATAAACTGAACACATAATCCAATAGTGTATAAAATCTGTCTCTCATTTATTACTGTTCTCATTCTAAGAAAAACATGAGTATTCATGGCCACTTGTCCACAATGTAAGTGAATATCTGTTTTTTCGAAATTGATTGAAAGCTGCAGACAAATTGCAGTTTGCAGGTGAATGAAAATTTTTTTCACTGACGACCGGCACCTAAAGAAGAATCTTTTTCTGTCTGCATTCCCTGCAGGGAAGAAGATTTTACCTGCATTCACTGTAGAGAAAGACGTTTTTGTGCGGAGAACTAAAAGAGAGAGGAGACCAAGAGTAATGTTGTTCACACTGAACGGCTTGGTCACCTAACTCGATACTTCGCTGATTAAGATTTATTTAAAAAATTTTTTCATTGTGGAAGTTCTTTAAGCACAAGCACAGTGTACAGTGTACAGTGCACAGTTTTCACGCTGATTACGAATCTCGTGTCCTTTTAAAACAAAATTTTGTTTTTCGATAAAAACATTTGAGTTTAAGTTTTTAAAAAGTTTTAATTTCAATTTTCTGACCTAGAAATTTTGTCTGAGAAATATAGAAAGTACTCCACTAGATAAACAATTAAATTCTCTACAAAATGGCTCATTTTGTTTAGACAGTGAATTTTTTCGCCCAGCACCAGGCTTTCCAGAGACTATTCTTCAGTCGGGGTTGGAAGTTTGGAGTGCCAGTTCTCCCGTAAATGGTGAGTACCTAACAAGAGCTCTGGTAAAGATAAAAATAAAAAAGTCCTTTTGCCTGTGCTGAATACCACGAGCTGCCCTCCGAAAAAAGAGTGTCACGGTAATAAAATAACGTTTCTACCATCCCCGAAATCCTGGAATGAAATCATTTTTACTAACGCACAGACCGTTCTCTCCTCGACATAACCGCTTGCAAATAAAAATTTTCATCGGTGATTTTCCCTGAAAAGTTTCAAAAATTCTCCAGATATCAAAGAAAAACGGGCCGTTTTTTGTCACAGCATGACGCTCTGGAAATTTGCTATAAAAATGCTAAACTCAAGCCAAATTTTCTTCTTTTTTTACTGTGGATAGAGGGCGTTGAGCTGCGTCGAATGACGCTTGAACGAACTCACTAGCTTTAATAGTTTTTCAGATAAGAGCGATTTAGTATGTCAAAAATGTCACAGCGTCACGCTTGGACAAGCCGTGAATATCAGAATAATCCCGTAAGGAAAAGGAACTAACTAACAGTTTTTTTGTATGTCTACTAGACATTTTAAGATGAAGGAGAGAAACGTTTTATCCGTAATCGCTTATATCATTTTCCTCTGATGTAATGGCCTAGATCGCAACTGTGTAGGAAGACTATTCTTATTTTGCTTTCTTAAATAAATAACGTAAATAATAATAATATTAATAGAAATTCTACGTGGGCAGTGCAGAAGTTTCCACCCTCAACTCTTGCCTGTGTCAGAAGAAAAGATTTTTTCTAACCTGCAGACTGCAATGCGGGTAAATTTTGTTTTATTCCTGCGCGCAGGGATCAAAAATTATGCAGTTGGCAAGCTACTTGAGACTCGCGTTGTTTTGTTTTGCTGTTTTTTTCTCCTGATATAGCGAGGAGAATATTTGAAGAAGTTTATTTTTCTATTTAGCTTGTTTAGTGTTTTAAAGTAACGCGAGAAATTTAGACTGTTACTTTTTCAAGGTACGTTCAAGAATCGAACTAATTTTACTCTAAAACGTTGCAAAACTGTCGATAGATGTTATGACACTAAAACGTAGTTTTCCAGTGGAATATCTTACTACTGGTTTACATAAAAGTGCAGGAACCAACCGCTCAGTGTATGTGTCAGAAAACTTGTGCTAATCAATTAATCGGTACCTAAATTCATTTTCTATTACTCGACTAGTACATTAACAGCCGTAAAAAAAACGGAAAGTTTACATGTAAGAAGAAGTACAAACATTAACAAACAATAATAAAGTATAAAAAATATTGTCTATAGCTGTACAAAAAGTTCAGTTCATCTATGAACCGAGAATGAAAAATATTCAAAAATTTGTCTTTGGTAAAGACGCAAATAATAACAAAAAAGTATAATCTATACAATGAATATCAAATTATCATGCACATCACAACTTTTGGTTAAAACAACTTTTTCTTTTTTTTCTTAGCCGCTTCCGCATCCAACTGTTTTTGATGTTCCAATTGTTTTTCCAATTCCTTTCGTCGACGTTCTTCTTCAATTAAATCTTCTAAATCTTCTTTAACTTGTGGTTGTGTTCGTTTTTGTGGTGTTTTCTTTAAAGGTGATATTTGCTGTCCTGACTTTTGTTGTCCACTTTGAACAAGATAATCATTATTTCCTTTCAAATATTCACTTCGTAATAGACAACATTCAACTAAATCTTGTCCATCTTTATTGAACGCATATTCAAGAGGATTTCTTACAACTGATTCACTTTCACGATTTAAACGTGTTGCACGATTAAATTGTTCTTTGTTAAATGATTGGGTTTGTAACCATGAACGTTGCAATTGACAAGTGCCTTGTGATCGATAATCCTCTAACTCCTTATCTTTAGCTTGTATTATACGAATTAATTCTAATTCACGTTTTTCTCGTTCACCCAATGCCAGAATAATTTGTTTGACATAATTTTGTTCATAAAACTCACCTAAAGAAAGAAATAGAAATTAGACTTTTGTTTATCAATATCAATATGGTACTACGGAATCAGTCAAAGTCTAATATAAAATCTTTTCTCATCAAGTACCTTCTCGTTTTTTACAATTAAATTCGTACATAAATGAATAATTATCTTTAATATATCCTTTTAATTCGACTAATAAATTTGGTACGAGTGCTGTTGATAAATACAGATGTATTTCATTTTTATCTCGTTGTTGTGTTGATTCACTTAACATTGTATGTATTCGATCGAGAGCTGATTTAATATTTTTAAATTCAATTTTTGGATTTAATACTTTTAAACGTTTTAATATATCTTGTTCCGTTAGTTTTTCATAATAGGCATTACCATTATCATAGAATGCAATTTCATACGATGTATCCGTAAAATGTGGTTGACAAACAATTTGATTATGATGAAAATCATTCGTTATATTTTGTGATGATGAAGACGATAAACCACCATTTTGTAAATGTAAATTTGAACTTTTTAACTCAACTACAATACAAGATTCGTGTTCAAATGATTTTTGAAACGATTTAGTAAAATCTTCGAAGGGAATTTGTGACATATTGATGGTCTAAAACGAAAAAACGATAAAAATCATGCAACATTTGCTGAAGAACGTTATATTTCTATTTTCTGTTATATTCCTGTTATACTCACTGTACGAAAGAGGTATTCTATTTTTTTTTACAAAAAGCTTTGTTCAAACTAATTTCGAGTTTTGGTTCTACTTCTACAAAAACATAGGCAATAAAAACGTATCTTGATAGTAACTGTCATATCTTTATTTTTGCCTTATTTGATACAAAGATCAAGAAAAAAACCGTAAAAAAATCATAAGACAAAAAACTTGTCGAACAAGCACAGTGCACTAAAAGAAAGTATTTTAGTTCAATGCATATATGTGCTAATGTTTGTACAAAACAACAACAATAACAAAAAAGTTAATAAACATAAAATTTAGAAAAACAAAATGTTTCATTCACGATGTCAGTTTTTTCATTATTCATACAATACGAAAAGCGAATACAAAAGCAACAGAAAATAAAGTTGAAATGATATGAGAATCATTACTTTGTTCTGAAAATAAAAGATCACGATGCGTATGTACGCAAAACGAAAATAATAGCTGATAATGTCATATATAGAGACACAGTCATGAACAAAAGCAAAAACAATATATGTAAAGTATAGTATTTCAACACAACAGGCTTGTCGGCTCGGAATGTTTGATGTAGTATTGAAAACATACTTACGTTTGCATGCTTTGCACATCGGTTATTTAAACGTACAATGGAAAAAATGTGCACAAATCAAAAAAAGATAAACAAACATTCGCATCGGTAGAATTGAAAATGATTATCGATTATTTCGACTAAAAAAATTCTTTTCATTCGGTAAGAGGACTAGAAAATTAATCAAAAGAGAAAAAAAACAAACATTCAAGTTCACAGATGTCTTTCGAAAGACATATAAATACGAAACATGTTCTATCTACAAAACAAAATGATGGAGTATTAGGTGATTAATTAGAAGGAAAGAACATAGACACACGAACCGGTAGTTTTACCTACATCATTTTTTGTTCTTTTTCCCTTTAACTAACATTCAGTGTGTTTTGAAGAATAAACGGGGAAGAAAAAAAGAAAAACTAAACAATTATTGAAAATATTTTAGAGTCTTTCATCTTCAAAATCATGTTCTTTAAGTCGTCCATTTTTACCATCATCAATAACACCCCATAAATCGAATATAAATTCATCTGTAAAACTAAATGCACCAATTTCGGATTCATCAATGGCCATTGCAAAATCGCTTGGATTCTTTTTATGTTGACCTAAATCCCAAATTTGTTGAGCTAAAACAAAAAAAAACAAGACTTATCGACTTTATAGATAGATGCATTGATTCTTGATTACTTAATCTGAATCGGCTGACCCCTACATAGCATGCAAATAATCTCAGACAAAGCTGAAACATATAGCAATGTCATTTGTTTATATCATAATATTATACAATTTTCATCATCGATTACAGCAGTCCAAAATTATTATGAGACAGACGTGTGTTCGAGTTCACAAACACTTTGGTCGAAGCATTTTTTTCTCTTGATGAAACGTAAATTTTAGAAGTATGTAAAACTAAATTACCCAATTCTGAATCGTTAATACCCATAAAAGTTTCTAAAATTTCATTAATACGTTCAATTGATTTATTCATTACATCGTCTACTTCTTCGACTGTTGCTTTTCCATCCGCTTTAAATCTCAATGTTTTATTACCACTTTTAACATCTCCCACTTTACGACCACGTTTTGCCGGTTCAATATCTAAACAAAATAAAAAAATGATATAAAAAATAGCCATGCATGATCCATCGAGAGAATAGAACATTATACATACGAAATCCAAACGCATTTGGTTCGATTAAACGCATGGTGAATGTTACACCCACAGGTATTTCTTTTAACATTTTTGCTACTTCAAAATGTCTTGCACCAATTAAACTTTTTTGATTAATTTTTTCAATATGATCACCAACCTTCACTAATGTTTTCAAACGATCTATTATACTTCCTTCCTTAATACGCTTTATAAAAGCATAACCTAAAGACATCGAAAACAAATAGAGCTAAATCGTGCTTAGAAATGCAGCTAGTTTCAAGATTTTCATCAATAGAACTTATAGTACTACACGCTACTCTTATCTTATTTGATAAGAGACCCTTGTTGACTCTGACAGATAGACCAAGTGAAAAAAACTGAATACTAACCAGCTCCATTATCTGTAATTGTTAATCCAAGTGCTGATTCTGATTTGACAATCTCAATTTCTTTTGCTTGTCCTTTAACATGCGCAAATATAAAGTCGTCAAGACCAATCTGGCCGCCAAGCAATTTTCCCATATCAAGTTTATGAGTATTTAATGTGCAAAATAAAATCTAAATAAAAGAATATAAAAATACTACAAATTTCTTATTTTTTCTTCTACTCACTGTCGCCGCTGGAATTTCAAAACATTCTGCAATTTTTTGATATAATTCTTTAACATTTGTGAAACCCGATATAAGCCCTGTTGGTGAACCATGTGCTAATTGACAATGAAATACAAGTTTTTGTTTTTCATGATCGCCTGATAATGGCGATGATTGATGTTGAGTTGATGATCGATTACTCATGGCATTCTGTGTTGCAGACGGATTACTGTTCGAATTTGTCGATGTTTTTGATGTAGCCGAAGCATTGGCTGATGTATTCGAATTTGCAGTAGAGTCACCATTAGATTCTTCATGTTTACTGTGAGATTTACGCATCATTTTAGGTAGTAACTTACCACCCGGCATTTCTAAAAATATAAAGAAAAATGATACTGTCCATCAATATGCTTTCTAGTCTATATATCCAGACAGCTAAACTAAAAATGGATGAGCAGTTGGATACATACTTTATATCTTAAGAGAAATCGACTTTTATTGTTGCAATATTCGATAGGTCGGTGTAAAGAATCAATATTCAATATAAATAGCAGAAAGTTTTGAATATTCTCTAAAAGAAGAAAATCAGAAAAACGTCAAAATAATCTGCGACAGCTTTCACGCTAAATAAACCGTACAGTAAGCGTTTAGAGACGTGTATTTTCACTCCCTAGCAATTTACTGCCAGGTGGATGAAACTTCAGAAAGACGTAAAATAAGTTCACCAGTTTCTTTGTGTTGATGGAAAAAAGCTTGTTTATTATAATAGATTCTTTTTTTACGCAGTGTCTGTTGATTTGATTTCTATCTCAAACTGAGTTCTGCAGTTGACTTTGGAGGTTCTAAGATAAACATTATAACTACCGTTAGAGATAATAAAATGAACTACAGTCCTACAAGACGATATACTTTTTAGTTAGTTAAAATTACAGACGTTAATGTAAGAGAGTTGAATTTATTTATAGAATAAGCTAATAACTTATAGTCTAATCGATCATTTAAAACCTCTCCTGTTATATCATAACTAATAACTTAAATAAGCAGATATCGTTATTCTGACTCATTTTATTTTAAAAAAGTCTTGATACGTTTAATGCTTCAAATGTACTAAATTTAGCTCATTCTATATATTTTCACATAGTTTCTTCTCTGACAATTCCTATTTTGGATCATCTCCATATTTTTCTTATTTGAAGCTAATTATTTGCTGTTTTTCATTCAGCTTCTACTTGGCATTGAAAACAAAAAAGTGCATACTTAAATGTAAAAAACACAATAAAGGTGTGCTGTCCGTGAAGATACTTCAACAGCATGCATATCTTCTGAATGGTGAAGTTTTTGTTCCTGATTGGCTCTGCTTTGAACAGTAAATGATTTCGAGAAAAGTACGTTTTCGAAAACAGTACCGATATACAGACTTTTTGATCAAACTTAAAGTTGTTTTTTTCACTTTATCTTTAATCCTTATTTATAAAGGCTTGTGTCGATTTTTTTATTGGTTTACTGATTTGATTACATCTCATGTTCCACTTCTAGCTTTTTTTTTCTTTCTTTTCTTGAAATTTTTTCAACATTTTGACAGTAGAGACAGGAAGGAATAAACAGCGCATCGATCCATTCATTTTGAGTAAGTACGCTTAAATAGAACGGTTTTTTCTTTCATATCATAACTTTCCTCAATTGTTTTGTGGTAATCGACTGCAACGCTCGCTAACGTTTTTACATTTTTGAGGAGGCAAAAATCTCCTGACTAAAATCATGAAAGAAATCTTTCAGACATCTCCAAAATGAGCTATGACCGGTATTACCGGTCATAAGAAGAAAACGTGGTGTACGTCTTATAAGACATGTAGTATTTTTTACAGTGAGCAGATATGAGAGTAGAAGAATTAGAGTATACTAAAAAAACGAACGGAAGGAAAGAAAAGTTTTCGATTATTGGCCGAAACGTTTTAATATACTAGTGCATTTTCTGACAAGACTTGGCGGCTTTTAAGATAATCTTACCGCCTTCAAAAACTATACTTTAACTCTGGATCGCAGCACGCATAGTCTTTTCCTAATAAAGAGTAGACAACGACGCGAGAGGACGCTAAATGACGGTTTGACATACACTACCCTAGTAGAACTTCTTGTACTCAAGATCTTGGGTTAAGAAATGTCACAAGATCTTTACTTCTTGGTGTTTTGTCCAGGATCTTGTACCATTTCTTAACTCAAGATCTAACACTAAGAGGTCAAGATCTTGGAAACAGAAATTTCAAAATCTAGAGTGAATCGAGTCATAATATTTCAGAGTATTATAATAGAAATTTTTTTACATTTTCTTTCTTATGTGACTGACTTCGCCATTAGACATACTATCATATCTGGTCATCGGTTCATCCTTGGACAGCTATGTTCAAGAAAGAAAAAATTTCGAAGTTATTATAAGTATGTAAATCTCCGCAGTTATATGTAAGCTAGAGTGTGAAGCAAAAGGTGATTCAAGAATTATCAAGATCTTGGTAAAAGAACTCAAAAACCTTCAAGACAATCAAGATCTTGAGTTCTTGGACGTTCTTGAATCTCTTTTCGTTTCTTTTACCAAGATCTTACTGAAAAATTCAAGAAGTCAAGATCTTGTCTACAAGAAGTTCTACTCGGGTATATTTTCTTACGAAAATAAACTTTACTTTTGCTATTTCAAAAGAAATACAAAGCAATCCTTGCAGTTTTAACAAAATAGCTAATTTCGGATTATTACTCCGCATATAAATGACAAGCAACCGTAAAGAAGAGGCTGGGACAGAAGGACTGTAGTTCCAAAAGCCAGAGTAAATTCACTATTTTTTCACAAAATTGCAGCAAATCATCGTATGTTTGTCTGAAAGTGGATTTTCTACCGCAAATTTTTCAAAGCAGTGGAATACACTTACCACACACACCGATGACTTTCGTGCCTTGCTTTGAGTAGTTATGGTAACGCGATCACCGAGATTGCTGGTGTCATATAAATATGCCAGAAATAACGTTTTCGGAATCGAAATAAAAAATTTCAAGAAACAGAAAGAGAGTTCAGTTCCTCTCTGATCTTCCGTTCGTGATGATCTTGTTTATGCATGCCATAATCTTTACAGTTATTTTTTGGTTTCATGCGTATAACAGGTAGTTAGTTCATCAAAGTCGTATTTCTCTCTTTTACGACCTTTATACGATAATCTACCATAATTTAAACGTTGTAGTTTCTCCTAGGCACATGTACATGTGAAGGTGGAATCGGTTCCTACTTTTTCAAAATCGAATCAAGCCCACCGATCCGAGTCGTTTCTGAAAAGCTCAGGCCGAAGTGAACCGAACTGGAACTGAAAATCTTTTTCGAAACAGAATGGATGAAAAAATGTTACAAATATACAGGGATCTACTTCTCATCAGATAACAGCGTTTCATACTGGAGTAAAGATTTATTTTTGATCAGCAATAATTTAATCGTAATATAAACACAACACAAATGTATGTTTGTGTGAACAAATAGCGGAGACAGTAAAAGGTATCAATTCGTTTTTGTCAATAACAAAGAATATGCTCGTGTTTTGGATATGAATATTTGAATACAATGTTGAAAACAACGACAACGATACAACGGGGTGAAAACTATGGACCGATGACTTCTCCAAGCACAAAATCTTTCCATTTTTACAAATTCCTCAAAAAATAATGAGCTGAACCGATCTCACGAAGGTGAGAAACGCATTACACTGAAGAGCTGTTTTTCTGAGGATTTGTTTGAGGAGAAAACATCGACTATTCCCAGGATTTAAAGTTAAAATATCAAAAGTCTTTTTAATTGTTCGCAGCAGACTCCCAATTCGTCCACAAAAATTCCATTTACGTGGAGAAAATATTTCGTTACGAGAAAATTTTTTACCTTTGGGAAATGTGGTGATTTTTTCGATACGTGAGTTTTTCCAATACTATACAATTTAAACAAAAACTTTTATTACAGAAAGATAGTCGGTAATCAGAAGATTATCATTCACTATCTCAGAGCAAAAAATATTCACTTTCATTTTTCCGCCCGCTGTACCTTTGGTGTGATTAACACGTGTCCTTTGAAAAGAGAAGAGTCGAACCGAGCGTCTGAGGTCGGGCGTAACTTTGTTTTGTTCAATTGTGAATAGTCTGTAGAACGGATTACCATATCTGAAGAAATATGGTTCCTAGACAGAGTTGCTAGATGGTTCGCATTTTGCGGATAAATTTCGATTTTTGAGTTTTTTCTGCTTTTGCTGTTTTTCCCCTGTTCATATACGATTTAAAATTTTTTTTGTCTATTAGGGATTCTCTTCCTCATCCTTTTGGCATGAAACGTTTATCTGACGATAAAAGAAGTCGTGTGTTAACAGAAATCACCTGGCAGCTGAGTTAAAAATTCGCTTAAACTCATCGTTATCATGCACTGAAATTTATAATTATTTCTTATCAACGCCAGAATTGCTTAAACTTGTTCATTCTAATGAAAAATATACAGTTCAAAAACAACATGTCAATTAAAATCGAGATTTATATTTCTGTTTGTTATTCTCTTATGCTTTATTGAGCAAAACCACAAAGTACTAGAGAAAACAGTTTTTGAACTCACTACGCGTAAAAAAGGATGAAGTTCGTTGGACCATGAAAATGCGTTTTTATTTCGTATTTCTGGCCTTCGCATCTGGCAACTCTGATCCTGGAACTTCCAGAAAATATGATGTCAAATATAAACCACGAAAAATTTAATAGGTTGCTTGATTGACCAGAATGACGAAACTGGTTGTAGTATCATTAACAGAATGGTGTCCGTTGGAATTTCGTAGATGTCTGAATTCAAGATTTCTTTCATGATTTTACTCAGGAGACTTTTGCCTCCCCTGAAAAATGTAAAAACGTCAGCGAGCTTTGCAGTCGATTACTACAAAACAATTGAGAAAAGTTATGATATGAAAGAAAAAATCGTTCTGTTTTGTTCGATTAACTTCTCTTTATGGAAACTCACTTTTCCTTAGTTTGAGGATGGTAATGTCATTAATATAAAAAAGGTGGAGAAATTATGTTTATCAAATCTATAATATATTTTAAACTTCTCAGATATACGTAGTTAATACTTTATAATCCTCGTGTGAACTACGTACGGGTACTGAGACTCTAACAACAAAATCTGTCAAAGCCTTCCTAATCTTTGAAAGATAAGCTCTGAAAGAATTTTGACAGATTATGTACTCATATTTACAAATTCTAGTCTACTTGACTACTTTAATATAATAAAAACACATAATTATGAGTATAGCACACTTATACGGTAAAATAAATGATTAATGGAAAAAGCACTTGAAACTACTACGTTGAATAAATAGTTACCTTATAAGTGAGCGTAGTTTGTCTTGTATTTTAGATGATTTTTTTTAGTGCCTTAGTCATTCAGTGTGTGAAAAAATATCGAGTGAACAGTCATTATGGTAAGTTGAACAGCTATCACCACAATTTCTTTAAAATACATGCAAAATATGATTGAATCATTTGCATGCATTTTAAAGAAATTGTTAATTATTGTTGTTGTTTATTAACAACGTCTCAGTGAGACGTTGTTAATAAATTCGCTGTAGTTTCCTAGAAAAACATTTTGAGCTAGATGTTTGTGTTTATCTTTCAGCCACCAAAGAAAGTTAAAAATGCACGCGCAGCGAGCTCCAGTCCAAAACGAAAAGCTTCAAAAAAACGTTCAAAAAGTGCTGTTGATACACGAACCGTTGAGGTTGACATTTTATCGCCTGCTGCCGTCATTAATGCATATTACACCTGTCATAACGTTGCCGATTGTCTTGTCATAAGAGGCTTTCCATGGGAAGGGGCAAAAAAAACAAAAAAAAAGAAGAAAAAGAAATAAATCATAACCAACTGTTGATTCATACGTTACACATATTTTGCTATAATTCATTCCAACAGTTGCCGTATCTTTTGTATTTTATGTACAGCCGTATACCACTCGTTAGAAGTTTTCTTACCTTGTTCATATATTTATTTGTTTCTGTTCCCTCTTATATACGAAGAATAATAAATTTTGTTCCTTGTCGTAAGCAATTATCATCGGCGTTTTTTAAAGCATAGATAACGTGCTTTTTTCGAAATAAATGTAATTTTTAGTGATGTACTTCTCCAAAAGGATAAATTGTTTCCAAACTGTTATTTTAGACATTTAGTTGCATTACGAATATTTTAAAAAAGATTTTACGGTACTGTGACGATCTTTTTGACATTTTTTCCCGAGAAATAAGAAAAATGTTGAAAATCCTATAATTGAGAAAGAAAAAATCGGCAAAGAAACAATTTTCATTGTAGAATATCAAGCCCAGTAACTATGATAAAATTTTCAGTTCGATAGGATGAATTATTAAGACTTCACATCGGCAGCATATTTCGCAAAAATGTCAGTTAATTTTACTACGATGTTTAGTAGTGTCATCATTGCCTTCAAAATAGAGCCTTTAGCCTACACGCTCTGATCGCTTCTCAAACTGAATGAGTAACAAACAAATAAACGGATTTTCATAAAACTATTTAAATTATATTCGATGTCTTTTTAAAGAGGAAAAAAAGAATAAAGTATAACACAAAAAAACGAATGTAGTAAGTATATAAAGCAAAAGAACAATTATACTTGCTTTTGCACTGTTCATAGATATTTGCAGTTGGAGAAAAATACATATAAAATATGGTGCGTTGAAAGCTAATATCACTAGTATTTCTCTTTTTGTTATAAAAGAAAGCAAAAAGGTCGTACTGAAGAAAAAAAAGCAGTTCTAAAAAATATCTGATTCACTGTAGATAATATCATAATATACTAGGTTATATGTCTTTTTGAGTTCAAGTAGAAAAATTCTAAAAATACTAAGCATAATCAACGAAAGAAAATAAGTTATTTGCACAGAAATATAAGATAAATAGATTTACCGTTGCTTCCTAAACCCTTTTTTTTAGGAAGTGCAATTTTCTAGGGATGAATTGCGAAACACAATAGAATTTACAACAACAAAGAATTTAACAGCACTTTCAATGAATCTAGACTAGAATACACCATTCTTTCGTCTTGACCGACATTTCTGACGAGTCATGTCAGACAAATGCTATTCTATTTGTTCTAATCAATTAATTGACTCCTTAATTATATCACTGCCATTCTTATTGCTGATTTTTAGAGGTAATAATAAAAAAGAATAAATGGCATAATAATGAACTGATGCATCAGAAAATACAAAACAATGCCATATGGCATGAGCAAATGGGATGAGACCATCAGCTTTGAAAAATATGATGCCAAATATATATACAAAACCACCCAACGCTAATTCCTGAATACCCGCACGATCATCCTAAACAAAAGACTAACTATTTTATTCGTTTTTTCCAGAACCACCGACACTCACAATGTCAGTGATAACAACAGCTGGAAGAACACCGACTGATACATAAAAACATGTTTCTAACCATTTATATCTAAAATGAACCGCGAAAATAATGACACTTACTGAATAATGAGAAGTGGAATTGCCTGGCTTCGAACTTAGTTTGTAGTCTGCTCAACGAGAAAATTTTTTTCCAGCATTCAACTCGTCACAAAGTGCTATAAACTTCTCTTTGAGGCTAATTTTAAAAATACCTTTTAAAAGAAAGTTTTATATCGTTGTCAAAACATTATGTGCTCTCTTATCATGGTGTATACGAAGAGGCAATAAATATGTAGATAGTAGCACGATCAGCATAATGAAGCATATGGTGTAGTGTTGAATTTCTATAATATCAGCAACAATTTTCATAAGTGTGAGATATGTGAGACACTTTTCAACATACCGAAACCGTGGATAAAAGCATGAACAATGAAACACAGTCGAAAATGAAAATAACATTATCAATGCGCTACCATAAATAATACTACTCCAATATTATGCATGTGTCATAGAATTCGATACGAGAATTTGTGCAGCGATACATGCAGGGATGACAAGAATTTCATGTGTTAAACAGTTGGCTGCATGTTCATGTGCAGTTGGTACATAGGCTTTATCAACAACTCGTTTATTCATAAAACGACTCCAATATTGAGAGGTGCCTTGCTGTTGGGGCTGTTGTTTTAAAGGGGAATTGTGGTTATTCATGTAGCAATAATCTGCGTATGTGTTGTATTCAATTTCTTCTTTAACTTTGGTCATCCATTTAGTTGTGAGTTTCTCGAAATATCCAGTTGAAAAGATCTGTTTCCGAATTTTTCAAAAAAATTAAAGAGGCTCTCTGCTACAAAATCTCTCTGGATTGGCGCATCGTGTTTTTCAGTTCAAGTAGGTTTCTTATGTTATATTAGTCTTTTTTATCAATTATTTGAGCAGATACAAAATCTCAGACAAATACACAGTCATCGTGAGTCCTCTTTGAGAACTCCATTTCACAACTCCACTTCGAGAGTAGCGCTTACTACAGAGAAACGGAATGATACTGTTAATGGTATGAGTGAGTGCATAACGCGAACTATTGAATCGTTCCCGTTGAAAGAACGGTAACTGTGAACTGTCACAGGTTTAACTCTTAAATCAATGATTCAATGTATCTTCGCCTGTTGAGCCATATAATGTTATTATCGATGATGCTTTATTCAAGAATAACAACTTTTCTTCGACATTATCTGTTAATAGTTCAGTAACACTGAAACTTAATTCATTAGAGAAGATTGCTATTTTAATAGTTAAAACCGTCTATTTACATACGAGCCCTCCACCGAAAGACTTTTTTGCAACCATCATTTATGATTCAAACACTGTACGTTCATTTTAGTAAACGTCACTGATGTAACAAACAAGATCCGATGGTGATATGATATTAGACCGTTAATGTCAGACCGACAACAGATATTGGTTGTTTAAGAACAATCGCAATATCTTTTTACTATTATTCCTACAGGGATAATAGGGCACGAGTGATCGTGTTTGACATCGTGATTGGAATTAGTTTGATTCAAATAATATTGACGGTTTATTCACATGTGTAAATAATCACGTTTCGAATTCAAATTTTTATCGGAAGCATGTAAACCAGTATAGTCAGTCGTTGCTGAACATTTTTCTAATGATGCATAAACACGTTCAAAATCTTTTAAAAAGACGGACAATAAAAAAGTGCAAAAATATGTTTCAATGAGTTACTTTTTCTATATAATATGATATGACAACAATTTACCCAAATAAATGTAGACAATTAATTGTTGTGAATCTTTTGAAAATGTGAGATATTCTCCACTTGGTGAACAGCTAAATAAATAGCTGTTGGAAGAGTGGCCATAAGAATTGAATACGATAGATAGACTGAACGATAAACATCATGTCTAACTCGTAAGTAGACATCGGGCATTAGTCGAAGTCGAAGAAGAGAGCTCAATAGCCGATTTCCCGTGAACGTAAATGACATGAAAGTGGAATAGATAATTGAGGGTGATTGTCGGAGACGAGGAAAATCAGAATAATGTATCTTTACAAATTTATTGGATTATTTCAATACGAATACAAAACAAATTGTTCATAAAATATAATTTTTAATATACTTTTATTCGTACAATTATTATTTTCCACAGCTAAACGACGTTTACCAACGTCTTCATCAGTAGCATAACAATTTTTAGAAAAAAATTAACAATAAAATTAGAATAACACACGTCTGTAGTTTGATATTAAACCTACCGTTATTGTAGTAAATTATAGAATAATATATGGACGTTGATGATAGCGACATTTCTCATTGTAGAAAACAAAAACAAATAATCGAATTGTTGGTTCATGAATTATCCGAATATATCCATCTATCTGGCACCATCAATACTCACGAGTAGTCATTGTCGGAGTAGTCATAGGTCGGAGACTATTGATGATTCTCACTTTTCTCATCTAACAACTTTCTGATCAAAAATTTATGCTACTGACGAAGACGTTGGTAAACGTCGAAACGTTTAGCTGTGGAAAATAATAATTGTACGAATAAAAGTATATTAAAAATTATATTTCATGAACAATTTGTGCTGTATTCGTATTGAAATAATCCAATAAATTTGTAAAGATAACAAACTTGTCATAATTGATGAATCTAATTTCATAACACTGGTTTATCTGGCACGGTCTATTAGTCTGTTTTGATAGAAAATAAACAGTACAGAATAAACTTGAGAGGATATTCCTTTAGCAGGTGCTCCCCAAAAACGTGGTGACATTAAAGCTGGGGCCTGTTTCTTAAAAAAGCTTAAGTAGAAAATCTTACTTAAGTCAAAAAAGACAAAGACTTTTTTGGACTTAAGTTTGACTTAAGTCAAATTTTCTACTTAAGCTTTTTAAGAAACAAGCCCCTGGTGCTCCCCACACGTATTCGGTGTTCATCCACGGAACCGAAAAAAGTGCCCTAACGTTATAGCTGGTACTCCCCATATGTATTTAGTGTTCCTCTATGTTGAAAAAATTCAGTAAGGTTGTGTTTTTAGTCTTTTAATGTCAAAATGAAAGAATAAACAATAAGTAAATTAAGAGAAGTACTAAGTGGTTAAAAAGCACAACTTCAAAATGACTACTACTGTTCCAGTGCCAACTAGTTTTCGTGAATTCTATCCTATTATTAATGATAACAAGAAGCTTCCTATGTTTGTGCGTGAACAAAAACTTGTATTAGAAAGTGAAGATCATCAACGTCCGAAATGTGGATCGGAAATGAGAGACGGTAAACGTCAAAAGACTTTAAAGGATGGTAAGTGATTCACTCCATTTGTAACTACTATTATCTATGCTGACTTAATCATATCTCTAGGTACAGTGTCAACATATGAAATAATGCGATGTAAAAATAAGCAATGTGCAAATCAGTTAAGTAAAAGTAAAAATTCCTTTTTTGCTTTTACTGATTCTTTGGGCAGAGGCAACTAAAAACTTAGTGTTGCGTCTATTTTAGAAATTATATGGTTATGGTGTTTTAATATAACATCGAAGACAATATCATGGACCGTCGGATGTTCCGAAGCAACTACAAGGAAGGTTACTACTTGATAACGTTAATAAGAAGAAGAAGAACAACAACAACACGAGCGGATTACCATACAAATCCAGTAGTAACAGCGATAGTAGCAGTAATGGCAATCAGCCTACAAATAACCGAAACTATGGCAAACGCATGGACGTTAAGTTATAACTGTGGCCCAGTTACATCTGCACTAATCAACTTCAATATTTGCATCAAATTAAATTGTAGGTCAATCACAGTCAAAATTTTGTTGACCCACACACTGGCTGTCACACACAATTAATCGAATGCTTGTAGGGTCAAGCGAAAACAAATTTTGAGTGCCATGCGCGGATCAACATTACTCGATAGTCATTTAAACGAATTTTTGCATCGAACAGTGCACAAGGACATGTTTTCGTCGATATTAGCAGACATTCGTCGTTTTCGTATGTAAGTTTTTTTTCTGTTTTTTTTTACTGATTTAAAAAAAGTGGCTCCTTTCCTGATTACTAGACGTTTTTTTCGGTACTTTTCTGCCTTGAATACATTGCAAAAGAATTGTGATCAATAATTATCCATTCAAAATAAAATCGAGCTTGTAATCGTCTAAATGCACTTAGACTATTTGAATGGATAATTATTGATTACAAGTCTTTTGTAATTTATTTAAGGCTAGGAAAAACTACCGAATCCCTTGGTCATTAAATCATACTTTACTATTTGTATTTCCTTGTGCTTTTTTGGGTTTCTGTACTTCTTTTTATTATTTCTTTCTGCACTTCTTTACTAGTTACTAAGTTACTACTTTATTTTCTTATTGTTTATTTTTCCAATTTTTTTATATCAAAAATTTCTGATATATATAATAATTTCTGTACTTTTAATTTACTTACTGTTTATTCTTTCATTTTGACATTAAAAGACTAAAAACACAACCTTACTGAATTTTTTCAATATAGGCGAACACTAAATACGTATGGGGAGCACCAGCTTTAATGTCACCACGTTTTTGGGGGAGCACCTGCTAAAGGACTACCACTTGAAAGAGCATTTATAAGCGAATCGAGAAATGCTGTTGAATGCAAGCAATCTTTTACTCTCGTCCTAACCGAGAAATTAAAGTTTTACAAAAAGAACGTCCTATGGAGTTTTCCAGTACATCAGTTATTGTAACGTCGTTTTTAAGTTCATTTTGTTTTTTGAGAGATATCTCGTTGAATACAGCTAGAAGAAACAGAACAAAATCATCGAGTCTTTGATTTTCCACAGCTTGCATTATCACTATGAAAAACGTAAAGTATCAGAAATTTGAACGGATGAGAAGGTGAATTTCTTCGTGTAGTTTTAATCTTTGACCGTTCAAGATCATTATAGGAAATTTCCACTAAATGCATTTTCTGTAGAGCAAAAAATTCTGCATATAATAAGTTTTTTAATAAGCATTTAAACAGCCTTCTTAACTCTGACCGCAGCGAATGAATTATTTGATTGCTGAGTTTAGTATATCAAAGATAAATAAAGTAAATTAGAGTAGCCAATTTTTGTCCTTTTTGATGATTGATTCCACTGAGACTTTGATCAGTTTGTTGTCTGATACTGTCGCTGAATGATATAAAAAGACGAACGCATTTCTCTTTAAAAATGATCTTCCATTAGAATTGATTGTACACCCCCTTTTTTTGTTATAACTTTTGCAGTCTCTTTGTTGGGCTCTTTTCACGGAAAAAAAGTTCTTCACACATACTTCTCCTTTCGAAAGTACAACGTACGAATTTTTTTTGTCGTCCAAGTTTTACCAGCTCACTGACTAACGTACGTGAGTCAATAGAAACGTAGAGCTTTTTAATTCACTAAAACACAGACTCTCACTTTGACGTTGTGAGCAAAATTCATAGCACTAGCATTTTTTCTAGAAGCATAATTTTATTTTTTATAAGTTTAATGTCGTTTTACATTCTTTTGAAAGATTCCCAGTCCTTCCTAGCTTTAAGTTTTATTTGAGGTCAATTTTCTTCCTGTAATGGTACCAATAAATTAATCGCATCCTCTCTCTTTTAAGATAACCATGTGCTTCTCTTTGCACAAATTAGAGTAATCATCTTCTTCTACATTATTCACGTGTTCAATTAAATTTATATTTATATAACTCTAACAGGTATAAAACCGTTCGGCTATTTTTGTTAAGTGAACGGATTTAACAAAAAGAAAACAAAAAACAAAGAACAGTCTACTTTTTTCTGTATACACGACTATCATACTACTTATTCAAAAAAATAAAAATAATTCTACACTTTTCTCTATCTTGTTCTCACTTGCCACTGTTTTCCATTAAATGTCGATTACTAAATTTACCACTCTAACAACAGCTACTATTCCACGTAAAACAAATCAAACAAATGGCTCATATGTAGATGAATTATCACAAAATAACATCGAGTGCGTTTCATTATTAGTTGTTGTCCGTACAGTTGTTGTTTGTACAAACCAACATTTGGTAAACAGAACATGACTCCAAATGAGAAAGAATAATGCTGCTAAATACGATTTAATGGCTCTTATCTGATCGCTTTTTTGTCGTGCGCGAAGCTTAGCCATTTTTCTAAAAAGAAAAATCTTTTTGATATTATTAGAGGAAATTTCTAATGTTACATCTCGTTTTCAATAATGAATTTGATCTAGTTAGATTAGATATCTCAAGCTTAGCTTCAAAACTGGGTGAATCTGATTTTTTTTTTCTGTTAGAGAATGGGAAGCTTTCCTAAGTTAGACATTAAGAAAATTTTCTGGCATTTAACGAGAATTAATGTTTTTTGTATATGAATGGTGATTCTAACTAAATTTATATCAAAAACGTTAATTTCTTTAAATAGATGCCTATATTGATTCTTTGTACAGTTTACAAATCATTCTATGGCAATTTTTCAGTAAGCAAAGTTCATAGCTTAGAAGCGAAATGTCTAAGGAAAAACTATTAGTTTTATTTTGGGCTAACCGTTACTTGCTTTAAACAATCATTTTCTTTTCATCTATCTTATGTATAATTTTTGTGTTATTTTTCGTCAATAATTCTTTCTCATTTGGTTTGTTCTGTCTATCATCATGTTTACACTATGCTCACTGCTATTTCATTGCTTAGTTTGTAGTTTATCAAGCTTCAAATTAATTTACCTTTTTTTCTTTAGATTTGATTCCAGTAATCGTCGCTTATCAATAAAAACGTCATTAGGAAAAAATATATCACAGGTAGGCTTTATATCTCAGCTCTTGTCTTATGTTTAGTTTTTTATTTCATTTTTTCTTCTCTTTTTTAGCACGACGGTATCTATCGTAATGCTCGTTTAATTCATACACTTAGTTCAGCTTTTGTGGTATGTAAAATATTGAATAATAATAATAGCTTATTTAACTTATATCTGTTTGTAGGGTCAAGCAGTGATAGTACAAACAACAGATTCTCGTATACATGGTGTATTAGAAACAATTTCACCTAATTTAGATTTGGTTATATGCGCAAGTCATAGTTTAGATGACAATAACAACGATTTAACAACGCTGATGCCTATTGATACTTTATCTGATACAACGAAAGTTTATTTTAAAGAAAAATCGATTATTGAATGTTCAAAAATTGTTGAAATGATTGCTGTTGATGTTGATATGAATTCTATTACGAAACGTAAGTTATTTTCTTGATATTCAGAGTATAAATTTTGTTTTTTTAGCTGGAAATATTGATGAAAATTCAAAACAAATACAATCGGAACAACGAAATAATAATACTGAAACATTGCGTGAATTAGAAAAATGGGATGGTGGTGATCAATCGGAAGACATTAGTCTAGAACTTGAAGATAGTGTAAGATTTACAACAATTATCAGTTTTATTTCTTATTATCAGATCAAATACAAATAATTTTTGGGATTTTCTTTTAGGGAGGTTGGCCAGCCGCCGAGATGTTTTCCAAAAATCAGGATGCGTTTCGTATAAATTCAGATTACACTCCGAGTTTGTTAAACACAGTATATGAGTAAGTAACACTTTAATCGTAGACTAGTGTAGTCCTTGTTTTCTATTCTGTATTTATTTCCAGTAATGTACCTGTACCGTCCGTTATATCAGACGAAGTTGAAAAAAAGGCGCAAGAAATTGAAAGTGACGTTAATCATATAAAAAATCGAGAATTGGAAAATGAAGATTTTGCAGGTATGATATATCACATTTTCTATCCTTGAAGAATAAAGAAAGTAGAAAAGTAGCTTAATATGTTTAGGGAGAAAAGATTCAGTTGAACTGATTCCGTTAGAGTATGTAAGGGCTTTTTTAGCACTCTGAAACCATACAAATTGAGAAACATAAAAAATTAGCTTTCCAGCATTTGATAGAAAAGGCTACAATAATATTATCTCTAAGCAAGATATTTTCTTTTGACATGCTAACAATATATTCTTTTCTGTTTTGAATATACTGGTGTCTGACTGATGTATTAAATATTTTCTCCTTATTTCTTTCAAACAGGTGTTAAAAGACCAGAAGACAAAACTGCCAATGACGATGAACGAAATAAACAACGCTCAGGAACACCGAAATATGGTGGTGGAGTTACGGGTACGAATAACAACAATAGAAATCCGTACAATAACAGTAATAATTCAAGACAAGATCAGAATGATATGTCAGCGACATTACGTGGTGGTGGTGGAAATAATCGCGGTGGCCGTGATGGAATGAATAATCCGTCAAGACAAGACGCACGAGTAGCCCCTGGCGATCAAAGGTAGTAATGAACATTAAATTCATAGAATAGTAATAGTACAACTTCTTCCCTGAAGTTAGTTAGATAGATAATTCGATAAATTAAAAAAACTTTACCATTTCTCAGAGTCTGATTATGAAATAAAGTTGGTCATTGAGATGGAGAGCTTTCTGTAACTGTCACTAAACAAAGACTGACAATCTTAGTCGAACGTCAATATTTGTTAGGAAAAGAATACATGAATTTTTACACAATTAAGCTTGTACTTCATTCTCAATTCAATGTTTCTGGGAGAGTGCTGCAGCTTCAGTGGAAATGTAGTTAATACAAACGTTTTCTGTTTTATTCTTTCAGAGGATTTGGTCGAAATCCAAGAGGTGGCAATAGTTATTTTTCAAAAGATTCACAATCAAATCAAGTTCGAAATAACAGACCAAATCAGCGAGGCGGTGGGGGTAATATACCTAGTCAAGTTTTCATAAGTAAAAATCCACAACATCAAGGTGGACAAGAAGGTCGTGGCAAATTTGGTAGTCGTCGACACAATCAACCGCGTTCATTTAATAATCTATCAGATTCTTCGTCACCAATGGGTCGTATGTCACCATCTCATTCTTATCATGAAGGAGATCACCCTCGTACTCAGCGTGCCGGTAGTTTTAATCAACAACGACAACCATCGGGTCCACCAAGTCCATCCACATCGACCTCTCGTTCAATAAGTGGGGCACAGGGGCGAAATTCACCAGCACCAATGGCCACCGCTGCACAGAATTCAAATCGAAATTCGATCAGTAGTTCCCCACCGACTCAGAATCAACCTCAGCATCCTTCTTCATACTCCAGCGTCACATCGCAACAGTACGGACAACAACAACAACAACAACAGTCATCAAATACCGGATCATCTGCATTTTCACATGTCGCTGGATCATCATCAACAAACTATCCACAACAACAACAACAGCAAACATCATTTTCGAAAACACAAAAAAAACCTCAACGTATGTCATTTAAGTTATACTGTCATGCGTTACATATCGCGAAAAGGGCTGAGTTTTTTTCTGTTTGCCCAGAGGAACGTTATATAGTGTGAATGACATGGGTTATTGGGTGAAAGTGTCTTCCTCTATTTCCAGCGCTTGATCGAATCTACACCACTTTATTTAAATGATCGCAATAAAATTCTAATACAAAATACTATATCAATAGAAATGAGCATTTTATATTATATTTTATTATTGGCTTTTCGTTGCATTAGTGTTTTTTACTTTCTACACGGTTATTTTTTTATTTTTTAGGCGATCCAGTTCAGCAACAAACTACGTCACATCATTCAAGCAGTGAAGAAACAGAACCTACAATACCCACAACCATAATAACACACACTACACCATCCGCAAATCGTCAACAACATCAACAAATTCCACCATCTCAATCCTCTACAAACGTAGGATCACCATCTACACCGCGTACATCAATTGTACAACAACATCACGTACAACCACCTGAATATGCTCCACCAATTTCTGTTCATTCATCACATTCGCCACCTATTCCGGTTCCATTACCATCGCATGATCCACAAGACATGATTGAAAATATTCACCATAATGATTCATCTTCAATTGTTCGTAGTTTATCCGATTCAAGTGGTAATATTTTACAAATAACACCGGGAGCAGCATATAACGTTCAACAATTATCAAATATACAGCAGAACAGTGGACAATCGTAAGTTGAAAAATCATAGATAAACGCATTTAAAAGACTGTCAGATCTAAGAGCCACTGCTGCCGAAGACAAAAAAAATATATATTTGATGAAATGTGAAGTATCAACATATACGAGATGACATTTTACTACAAAACTTGAGAGGATTTTCCTATAAATGACTTTCATTTTTTTTCGTNTTTTTTTTCGTTCATAGGACACCTGGTAACAAAAACTCAGCATTGAATCCATTAGCAAGTGAATTTGTTCCATTTACTGTTAATGTAAGTGTACAAAATATTTTCTATATTTCTATTTTATGTATTTTTGTCTTTTCAGCGTTCAATGAATGACAATTCTCGTCCAGAATCACGTGGATCATCGGCGCCTCCGCCTATCGCTCCACAAAGTATTCAAATTATTTCACAACCGCCTATTTTACCACAAAGTCAACAAATTTATCCTACACAATACTTTGTCCAACCATATCAAATTCCCCCTCAACAACAACAACAACAACAACAAACTCCACAAACAATACAAATGGTTAATACGACAGGTAATGGTGGTAACGGTATGACAACACCAAATAGTGCATCGTATAAAACAAATCATCATCCTGGTGCTAATTCAGTGCCACCGAAAAAGGGTAAATTTTCGATAAACTGAATAGGTGACTCATCAATTATTGAGTGATTTATATCCCTTTTTAGCTATCGTTTCTGTCCAAAACGGTCCGGAACAAAATACAGCAAATAATGTAGGAGCGGCTACAGGACCAGCAATGATGATGCCACACATTTATTGGAAATCGGCGGATATTGTACAAGGTATGTATTATACGTTTGATTGCTTAGATTCCATATATGCAATCTAAATCTCGCAGAATTTTGAGAATGATTTCCAGGACTACGTTTTGCTTTATCATGGATTATAAGTTATTTATATTTGTAGCCCAACAACAACCCCAGCAAATGATACCGCAACAGATCTATTATCAACCATTACCGAATCAAGGGAATTTGGTGTCAACTGGTGTTCCACCTTCCCAAATTTCTCAGACTGTACAAATGCAACAGGCTCAACATTCAAATACATCATCTGGCACAGCCACACCTGCTCCACCAATTAATTACGGGAATGGACAGGCACCATTTTATTTTCCCTACGTTCTCACGCCTCAAGTTCCAAATAATCTATCATCACAGTCACCACAGCAGGCACAGCAGTATGTATTTTACAAAAATCCTCAAGTTCAAGTACAATCGACAAATACTAACCAACAACTTCAAGCAGCCACTCTTGTTTATCCAACACAATCGACTTTAGCTTATCCACAATATTTACCTCAACAAGCGCATCAAGCGATCCCACAAACATCAAATCAATGGCAAACGCAGCCTCAAATTTCATCGCAACAGCAACAAATACAACATCCCGCTCCTCAAATTACACAACAACAATGGGGACAAATGGGGACTGCAATTGATCTACAATTATATCAGCAATATTATCAACAACAACATCAGGTATCATAATCTTGCTTCGATAAATAGCTCTTCGAACATTTTTTGTTTAGTGTAGTTTAGTCAAGGAATAAAATTGAGAATAAGGAGTATTGTGCGAGTGTAACCAAAATGTTGTTCAAGGAAGAGTAGAAATATGTTAGTTAAAAATTAAGAAAAACATGTTCAAAGAAAAATTTGTCAGTGAAATTATAAAAAAGTTCAGTGAATTACTTACTATTTTAGCCACACCATCAATATCAACAACAGCAACCTCAACAGCAACCAACTCTCACACCACAACAAGCAGCGTTCAACGCAAGGTAAAGAACAGAAAAAGTTATTATTAATGTCTTTACTGCATGTTTGTTATTTTCTATAGTATCAGTGCCACCTATGCACAACAACAATGCCGTCCAGCTACATCGTAGAAAAGGGGAAAATAACTTTCGTTTTTAACTGAGAAGCAACGACAAACGACAAGCGATACAGTTTAAAAGAGAGAAAACCAACAGAAGAAAAATCGTTTACTTATCAAACAAGAGAAAAGAGATCCCCGATACACACACTTGCTATCGAATAAAGATTATAA